GATGGTTCTTCACTCCCTAAAGTATCTATTCTACTGCGAATCAGAGCGCCTTTGTATTTATGTGCATGCAGTGTGTTTAGTTCTCTCTCTATTGCATGTATTTTGTCTCGAGTGCTATTGCAATTAATTAGTGTGTCTAATTGACTTTCTAAGTATTCTTCTTGTTGCTTCCTTGCAATGTTGATTTCCCTAGCTATTTTAGTACTGAGTTTTGTTATTACATGTTTGAATTCTTCCCGATGTTCTAATGCGTATGCTTTTGGAATTGTTTGTGTGTAGTGTGCGGCCGTGTCTTTTATCACTGCAGTGTATCTGTCGTTTTCTAATAGAGTGTTGTTAAATTTCCAGTACGCCGATTTACTTTTTACATTGGGTGTGATATTTATCTGTACTAATGTTGCTTTAAGGTGGGTAAATCGAAGTGTTTGAGCTATGTGTTTTATCATGTCTATGTTTTTTTTTTTTGCCTCAGACATGTAATTTACAGCGCCAGTTGTGTGTGTTCGCTTTAGTATTAGTTTTCATCACCGGCTTGTGAGGACGGATACAGATTTACAGTAGTAATTTTTCTTTCTTACTTGTAGCCTACTTTCATTCTTTTAAGATGGTTTACTTATACATAGATCTAATACAAAACGTCTAAACATAAAAAAAATGTAATTAAAAAAAAATGTTTATGATAAAGTTGTAAAGGTGATTACAATTTATTAGGCTCTGGATCGTACGTATAAAGTTAGATTCAAAATAAATAATTCGTGTGTTTTGTATCTGGAGAGGTTTTCATAAATTGTACTTTTTGGTGATATCAAATCGCAAACAGATAAGGCAATGCAAATGCAAAATTAAACCCATATATCTATGTATCTACAAATATGTATCACAATATTTTAGATATAAATTTGTAAGATACGTTACAATTATGTATAAAAAATAAAATCAACTTTAATGCAGTATTACCTCCCTTGACAAAAAAAAGTAATGATTCCTTTTTACTTTCTCGTATACGAAGTATAGAGGAAATACTGTAATCGTGAAAAAAAAATCGAGATTTTTTAAAATCACGACGTTTTACACCTCCCTGAGTCGGTAAAACATAGTTTTGCAATTTAGTCAATATGTCTGTGTGTGTATGTGTGTGTATGTATGTGTGTCTGTGAACTCGATAACTTGAGTACCGTTACAGCTAGGTTGATGAAATTTCATATATAAGTATTATATCCAATTTGTAGTTCTGTATCAAAATTTCACATGTTAGTAAAAAATCTAATTATCTGCCTTCTGACAAAATTTAATTTCAGTTGACCGGAAGTAGTAATCTATGCTATTTTCGATTTCTCAAAAAACGCATGTGAATTTATAAAGTACTAATCATATTCCTCACTATTATACACATTTTGTTTGGCGTTAACTTGGTGTGCAATTCTTTTTTCTACAAGATTGTATTCTATTTTTGATAGTTTAAGTAATTAAGTAATTAATAAACCTGGAGTGATCTCCCCTAAGCTTTCTCGAATTTTCTAATATAAAACTACGAGGGATGGCAACTCAGGACATAGACAATATTTGTAATCCATTTTTAATTACTTAAACTTTTTATAATAGAATAGAATCTCGTAAAAAAAAAGAATTGCACACCAAGTGAACGCCTAATAAAATGTGCATAATAGTGCGGGATATTATTAGTACGACTTTATAAATTGACATGCGTTTTTTGAGAAATCGGAAATAGCGTAAATTAGTTCTTCCGGTTAAAGGAAATAACTCAAAAGTTGACAGAAGGTAGAGAATTAGATCTTTTACTTACATGTGAAATTTCATTTATCTATCTGAAATAGTACTCAAGTTATAGGCTTTTGAAAAATTCAAAGTAGAAAAAGTACCACTTCCGGTTATTGGAAATCGCTCAAAAGCTGATCAGGATCTACGATTTTAATAAAATACTTATATATGAAATTTCATCAACCTAGCTGTAACGGTACTCAAGTTATTGTGTTTAGACACACACAGACAGACAGACAGACAGACAGACAGACAGACAGACAGACAGACAGACAGACAGACAGACAGACACATACACACACACACAGAGACAAACGGACAAGATTGCAAAATTATGTTTTTCCGTGTCAGTGAGGTGTAAAACATCGAGATTTCTAAAAATCTCGAATTTTCTTTTTGCACGATTACAAGACGTTCTCTATACTTCGTATATACGAGAAAGTAAAAATGTAACCAACTTTAATGCAGTATTATCTTCCTTGAATGAAAATAATGATTTTTTTTCTGCAAAGTAATCCATACATTAGTTCTTTTTTTAAACCATGTTTTATAAAAGTGTTTTTATTTTGGTGAAATCTGCGCCAGTTGAAATAAACTCCCCTGGTAATATTTGATCAAGTTGAGATGTACTCACCTAGGTAAATTATCCAGTAGAGATGAATTTACCTCGGTAATATTTCATCCAGTAGAAATGAATTTACCTCGGTAATATTTCATCCAGTAGAAATGAATTTACCTCGGTAATATTTCATCCAGTAGAAATGAATTTACCTCGGTAATATTTCATCCAGTAGAAATGAATTTACCTCGGTAATATTTCATCCAGTAGAAATGAATTTACCTCGGTAATATTTCATCCAGTAGAAATGAATTTACCTCGGTTATATTTCATCCAGTAGAAATGAATTTACCTCGGTTATATTTCATCCAGTAGAAATGAATTTACCTCGGTAATATTTGATCCAGTAGAAATGAATTTACCTCGGTAATATTTCATCCAGTAGAAATGAATTTACCTCGGTAATATTTGATCCAGTAGAAATTAATTTACCTCGGTAATATTTCATCCAGTAGAAATGAATTTACCTCGGTAATATTTGATCCAGTAGAAATTAATTTACCTCGGTAATATTTCATCCAGTAGAAATGAATTTACCTCGGTAATATTTGATCCAGTAGAAATGAATTTACCTCGGTAATATTTGATCCAGTAGAAATGAATTTACCTCGGTAAAATTTGATCCAGTAGAAATGAATTTACCTCGGTAATATTCGATCCAGTAGAAATGAATTTACCTCGGTAATATTTCATCCAGTAGAAATGAATTTACCTCGGTAATATTTCATCCAGTGAAAATGAATTTACCTCGGTAATATTTGATCCAGTAGAAATGAATTTACCTCGGTAATATTTGATCCAGTAGAAATTAATTTACCTCGGTAATATTCGATCCAGTAGAAATGAATTTACCTCGGTAATATTTGATCCAGTAGAAATGAATTTACCTCGGTAATATTTGATCCAGTAGAAATGAATTTACCTCGGTAAAATTTGATCCAGTAGAAATGAATTTACCTCGGTAATATTCGATCCAGTAGAAATGAATTTACCTCGGTAATATTCGATCCAGTAGAAATGAATTTACCTCGGTAATATTTGATCAAGTAGAAATGAATTTACCTCGGTAATATTTCATCCAGTAAAAATGAATTTACCTCGGTAATATTTGATCCAGTAGAAATGAATTTACCTCGGTAATATTTCATCCAGTAAAAATGAATTTACCTCGGTAATATTTGATCCAGTAGAAATGAATTTACCTCGGTAATATTTGATCCAGTAGAAATGAATTTACCTCGGTAATATTTGATCCAGTAGAAATGAATTTACCTCGGTAATATTTCATCCAGTAGAAATGAATTTACCTCGGTAATATTTCATCCAGTAGAAATGAATTTACCTCGGTAATATTTCATCCAGTAGAAATGAATTTACCTCGGTAATATTTCATCCAGTAGAAATGAATTTACCTCGGTAATATTTCATCCAGTAGAAATGAATTTACCTCGGTAATATTTCATCCAGTAGAAATGAATTTACCTCGGTTATATTTCATCCAGTAGAAATGAATTTACCTCGGTTATATTTCATCCAGTAGAAATGAATTTACCTCGGTAATATTTGATCCAGTAGAAATGAATTTACCTCGGTAATATTTCATCCAGTAGAAATGAATTTACCTCGGTAATATTTGATCCAGTAGAAATTAATTTACCTCGGTAATATTTCATCCAGTAGAAATGAATTTACCTCGGTAATATTTGATCCAGTAGAAATTAATTTACCTCGGTAATATTTCATCCAGTAGAAATGAATTTACCTCGGTAATATTTGATCCAGTAGAAATGAATTTACCTCGGTAATATTTGATCCAGTAGAAATGAATTTACCTCGGTAAAATTTGATCCAGTAGAAATGAATTTACCTCGGTAATATTCGATCCAGTAGAAATGAATTTACCTCGGTAATATTTCATCCAGTAGAAATGAATTTACCTCGGTAATATTTCATCCAGTGAAAATGAATTTACCTCGGTAATATTTGATCCAGTAGAAATGAATTTACCTCGGTAATATTTGATCCAGTAGAAATTAATTTACCTCGGTAATATTCGATCCAGTAGAAATGAATTTACCTCGGTAATATTTGATCCAGTAGAAATGAATTTACCTCGGTAATATTTGATCCAGTAGAAATGAATTTACCTCGGTAAAATTTGATCCAGTAGAAATGAATTTACCTCGGTAATATTCGATCCAGTAGAAATGAATTTACCTCGGTAATATTCGATCCAGTAGAAATGAATTTACCTCGGTAATATTTGATCAAGTAGAAATGAATTTACCTCGGTAATATTTCATCCAGTAAAAATGAATTTACCTCGGTAATATTTGATCCAGTAGAAATGAATTTACCTCGGTAATATTTCATCCAGTAAAAATGAATTTACCTCGGTAATATTTGATCCAGTAAAAATGAATTTACTTCGGTAATATTTGATCAAGTAGAAATGAATTTACCTCGGTAATATTTCATCCAGTAAAAATGAATTTACCTCGGTAATATTTGATCCAGTAAAAATGAATTTACCTCGGTAATATTTGATCCAGTAGAAATGAATTTACCTCGGTAATATTTCATCCAGTAGAAATGAATTTACCTCGGTAATATTTGATCCAGTAAAACTTCAGATTTCTTCTTCTCTATGGCGAGCTGCTGTGTCCTTTCCTCAACGATGTCTTCTAGGTTACTGGTGTATTCTTCTAGACGGGTCAACAGTCGGTCTACCAATGCCACATCTTTCCCGCTGTTTTAGAATGGGTAAATTATATTGGCATTTAGGTATATATATATATATATATATATATATATATATATATATATATATATATATATATATATATATATATATATATATATATATATATATATATATATATATATATATATATATATATATATATATATATATATATATATATATATACATACATATATATATATATATATATATATATATATATATATATATATATATATATATATATATATACATATATATATATATATATATAAATGTGTATATATATATATATATATATATATATATATATGTAAGTGTCTGTAGGTGTGTGTGTGTATGTTTGTTGTTGTAAATGCATTTGTAAAGATGTGTACTACGTAATATGTATAATATATCTCTAAAAATAAACAAAATCTTTCGTAAAATCACAAAGTTTACGAACAATAAACAAACCGTGTAGCTATAGCACTTAACTATCGGCTAGCAAACAGAAACGCTGGCAGGCACACACGCGCGCGCGCACACACACACACACATACACAAATACACACACACAAACTTACTTCCCGAACATTTAAAAACAAGGTAATTAAAAAGTCTAGTGACAATTTTAGCGCAATTTCCTTATGTTATCTAAAATAGGTCTGTCGTAGCGTAAATCAAGAGCAGGGTTAGTAAAACCATTGGTTAGTTAATTAGTTATTAAAACGTTTTTTGTGACCGAACGAAAGGATATTTTTGAAAACTTTCTTCGGAAATTTTGTTCTAAATTATGGCAGGATTCGATTGGTAAATGTTTCAAGTCGCTAAGTGGTCTGGTTGCCGAGATATGGGCAAAAACACTGCATTACTTCGAGGTTTTTTGGCTTTTCCGGGAAATCCATGAAAGAAACCCGGAATTTTTTTGGCCTATGTTCATCCTCGTAAATTGCTTAACATAATTGCTTTTGGAACTAGTCCTCGATATTGCTTCGTTGAGGAGGAGATACGACTTAAAGCTGCGGACACACATTCATTCATTCATCCATCCATTCATCCATCCAGAAATGACGGGTTAATAAACGCAATTCTCCAGAATGGAAATTGCGCTAAAAAGCTGAGATAAATTTTCAGCTTAGAACTTTCATGTCTTAACACATTTACACTTGCGACATGCGACATGTATACTATATGTGTCCAGATAAAAATCTCGCAAAAAGTTACATTTACATACTCGCTGCAAGTTTTTCTTTTTTCTAGACGTGTATACATGTCGCAGTTAATGAAAAAAAAACACAAGTAAAAGTCACAACTGAAAGCCAGATAGAAAAACCACAAACGTAAGACATCATCGGAAACCATAAATTAATGCCGCTTATGAGATTACCCGCAGAAGGATGTAATGACCTTCAGAACGGCCTCAAAAGGTGGCCTCTGGTCAGGATTCTGGGCCCAGCATCTCTCCATCAAGGTGATATAACCCTCCTGAACATCCGTCTCTAGAATCTCCGGTCTAAAAGGTGGAGTTTCGTTACTGCAGACCCGTTGAATGATGGCTGAATTTTTAAAAATAATTTTTTTTTCTATTAAATTTGAATAAATACAGGTTTTGATTGGTTAAAGGAAAATGTCGAGTTCGCTAATATGGCATGGCCTGTGATTATATATATATATATATTTATATATATATATATAGATATATAGATATATAGTTATATATATGTATATATATATATATATATATATATATATATATATATATATATATATATATATATATATATATATATATATAAGAAAAATTGGTACTTTTGAGTTTTTGACAACGTAGTATTACAAAAAGGAGATTTTTTTCTGCCAGCATCACTTTTAAATGTAGACATTAATACTTTTAATTTCTGAGTGACCTCCAATATCCGGAAAAAAGTACTTTTCTAAAATATCGATAACTTGAGAACCGTTTCAGTGATTGATAGTGGTTGGGTTAGAGACAGTGATTTGATAGGGCTATGTTTAGCGGTTTTGCCGGAGCCAGCTTATGGTTGATTAAGGATAAGAGTTTAAAAAAAGGTTAGGGCCAAAAGGCGGATCAATTTAAGGGTTTGGTTAAAATATGGGATGATGTGGTTGAATGGTAGAGCGTTTGACTGTGAACACGGTCGTCTGGAGTTAGGATCCCAGGCTCGAGTTCGTACGACGGCCCTGAATCCACCCAGCTCCGACTCCCATAAGGAAAAGTAAAGGCGGTTGGGCATAGTGTTGACCAAACTATTCCTTCATATCCTTAGGTCTATGAATCAGTTAAATTATACTTCACCTGCCGCATGGACTATAAGGTTCAAAAGGGTACTTTACGTACATATTTTTTTAAAATTTAAGTATAGTACTAGACGTTGAGGGGTAAATACTGGACAAATTATAGTGCTTGTAGCTAGGGGCTGGCGCTAGAGATTGGGTCAGTATCGAGAAAACTGTGGCCTGAAAACTGCGCAACGGAAAACTGTGAACACAAAAAAAGCGCAAGGACATTTTTGTTTTCTTAAATCGAGCATTTGTAGACATTAACAAAGAGTGACTACATGTACATTGTAGCATAATAAAACAAATTTCCGCGGAATACAACAAAATTAAAATAATTTATTATAATTAATTTGTATTTGCGCATTTTTCTGTCTGCGCCTTTTTCCGTTGCGCAATTTTCCGATTGCGCATTTTTCTGGGAACGATAGAAAAAACATGCGCGGACAACGCAGAAGTTGATCAGAGACCCCGATACTGACCATCGACTTCCAGAAAAGCCCTCTGGGTGTCGTAAGGCACCGATCTGGTCAGCGTCTCCTCCATGATGATGCCAAAACTGTACACGTCACCTTTCTTGGATCCGTCCACACGTTCCATGTTGTGGATGTGTTCCGGTGCCACCCACATTAGTTCTGTTAACAAAAAGTTTGTTTAATAGGTTTTCGACTCGAGAACACTGTACTGAGGTTTGTGTACCAGTAGTGGTATTAGGATTTTGGGATTGTCAGTAAAAGGTGTCATTCTACCTAGGGGGAGGGGGGGGGGGTGGGACTTTGGTGACTGACGATGTGTGATGGCGGGGGGGGGGGGAATTTTGTGACGTCTGACTAGATTGGGGGAGGGGGCTTAGAAAGTGCGACGACACAATTTTGCATTTTAAAACGTCGTGTTGAAAATTGAATGTTTGCCGTTATTTTGCATTTGAAAAAAAAAGTTTTTAAAAAATCGTATCAAAATTGATCCATATGCTCGAAATTAGTCGAGCTCAATGAATATTTTATGAAGAACTAGCTCTAATAAGACACAATTGCAATTTTGAGATGGATTGTTGGCTGAAGTGACGTCATTTAAGAAGGAGGGGATCTGACTGGCGAAATGTGACTATGGGGAGGGGTGGTAAAACTATTTTTTTTTAAAGCGTGATGTATGGTAATCAGTGCTAGGGTAAATTCTAGGATTAGGATAGGGGCAACTTGAGGCGGTGTGGTCGGATGGTAGAGCGTTCGACTGCTGACCCCAAAGTCTCGAGTTCGGATCCCGGGCTCGAGTCTATACAACGTCCCTGAGTCCACCCTTCTCTCATGTTTCACGTTAGGTTGCTGGGCATAATGCTGACCACACTATCCCTTCATATGCCGAGGGCAATAAAACAGACGAACTCTACTTCACCTGCCCCACGGACCATAAGGTTCTGAATGGCACTTTTTGTAGGCAACGATACCAGCTAAACCTACTCTGCAGCTCCGAGTGAGTGGCGCCATCTTTGTCCAGCTCATTCTCGTCCACTTGTCGAAAACTCGGCAGTCCGAAGTCCGTGACCTTGACGCTGAACTTGCCATCCACGACGCAGTTAGCTGACGTCAGACGCCCGTGGTAGCTGATCACCGATTGGTGGATGTACATCATGCCCTACGTAATAGGTTCATTCAATGCAGAAATGTTTGTTTAAATATTTAATAGAAGTCATCGAATTCATTAATCTGAAAATGGGAGGTTAAATATATCATGAGGAAAGTGGGAGTTTACTTTGACATTTTATGGTAAGAGTCGTTGGAGGTTTTTGGAGGGGACAGCTAGGAGTCTCCGAAGTTTAAGGGGGGGGGGGCAAAAATATTTTCTTCTAGCTATAGCAAGATAAACATATTAATGAATAATTAATAGTCGTAGTCATCACGGATAGTTTTCAAACAAGGATTCGGTGCGTAAGTCCGTAGTTTAGACTTACGAGAGGGAAAGTAAAGGCGTCTGGACATAGTGCTGACCACAATATCTCTTCATAGGCCGAGGTCTTCATCTGCTTAGAGTTTCTTACAGGCATCTCTTGGGGGGGGGGGGGGGAGCTTTACCGAAGAAAGTCTACCGCCCCCCCCCCCCCCGCCCGAACGAAATGGAATTTATATAGAAAATATATACTTTTAACAGTGACCGCCCCTGGAAATTTACCAGTCCCGATGGTGTAACTTACTTACAGTCAAGCCGACCGCTGGAATTTGTTGCAATGGTGACAGGACCTTACCTTCAGCAAGGAAACTTTGAACGCCCAGTCCAGTTTTTCACTTATAGGATCTTACCTTGACTACGTCGTTTAGCAAGGAAACCTTGAACGCCCAGTCCAGTTTTTCACTTATAGGATCTTACCTTGACTACGTCCTTTAGCAAGGAAACCTTGAACGCCCAGTCCAGTTTTTCACTTATAGGATCTTACCTTGACTACGTCCTTTAGCAAGGAAACCTTGAACGCCCAGTCCAGTTTTTCACTTATAGGATCTTACCTTGACTACGTCCTTTAGCAAGGAAACCTTGAACGCCCAGTCCAGTTTTTCACTTATAGGATCTTACCTTGACTACGTCCTTTAGCAAGGAAACCTTGAACGCCCAGTCCAGTTTTTCACTTATAGGATCTTACCTTGACTACGTCCTTTAGCAAGGAAACCTTGAACGCCCAGTCCAGTTTTTCACTTATAGGATCTTACCTTGACTACGTCCTTTAGCAAGGAAACCTTGAACGCCCAGTCCAGTTTCAGTGATTCAGACAACAGGACGTCCTGCAAACTACCTTTCTTGCAATAGTCGTACAGCAGACACAACTTGCCGGGTTGCACGCAGGCGCCAACAAAAGTGGTCAGATTTTCGTGGTGCATATTTCTCACCTGGGCCAAATAATCTTATTATTTAAAAAAAAAAACTAGTTGTTTTTTTAATGGTTGAAAGCTACTATACCTAAACAACTTAACTACAAAAAAACTCTACTAGAAAACAACAAAGCTACTAAATAAATTTTAGAATTTCAAAAAAAGGCGAAGAAAAACAAGAAGAACGAAACTAATATTATTGATGCTAGAATGAAACTGAATGAAATGGCATCCTATGTGGCTGAAACGTATTCTCTCACAGATTTTATCTACCAATGTTGAAGACACAAAAAGGGATGTATCGATAAATTATATGTTTCTAAGTATCAACAAAAGTATAGTCTGATACTTAGATAGGGCTAACCAAGTATATTAAATACGTGAGCATGTTTTTGCTGGATGGACATCCAGCGGGCTCGAACGCAGGACTTATGGGTAAGGAATCTAGCGCACTACCTGCTGGTCACGCGACCTTTTTTGATACTTAATATTTCTTTTTAAACTTAGTATGTTACAGATAAAATTGTAAAAAGTAAATCTTCAGGCTTAAAATGTTAGAATGATTTTAAATGTAAGAAGAAAATCTCCTGAATTCATCCCGGCTTCAGATTTTAGAATAGAGTCTAAACAAAAATAGATCAGTGCTTCAAATTGAATAATTTTTCATTTTTTTTTTTAAATTCAACGCTTACTGCAACCCTTACCGCTCGTAGCTCCAACAGAATTTGTCGATTCACGTCAATTTTGTGCATCCTCAATTTCTTTACCGCCACTACTTCTCCCTGAAATAGTAATAATATAAGGAAACATACAGTGCAATGTTAGTAAAATAAGGGAAAACAGCGTACACTGATAATAAAATAATGGAAAAAACGTACACGGATATAAGGAAACACACCGTACAATGATAATAATATAAGGGAAAACACCGTACATGGATAATAATATAAAGGAACACACCTTAAAAGGATTATAATGTAATGGAAAAAGTCTTACAAAGATAATAATATAAGGAGAAAAGTATTGTATACTATAAAGGAAAAATAACCTATAAGGATAATAAAGTAAGGAGAAAAGGATAATAAAATAAGGGGAAAATACCCTACAAGGATGATATATAAGTGTAAACACCATGAAACGGAAATAATATAGGGAAAAGACTTTAAAAGGGCAATAGTATAAAGGAAAACACACTTAATGGATAATAAAATAAGGAAAAAAATTGATATTATATATACGGGAAAACGTCCTAAAAAGAAGTTAATAAAAGAGAAAACGATAAAAAGAAAAAAAAAGGAGAAAACACCCTTAAAGAGTAATAGGCCTATAGGGAAAACTAAGTTAGCTTATACAATGTATAAAATAGTACAGTGCAGTTAAAACTCTGTCATTTTTGACGAGTTGTTGCTAGTACAATTTGGTGATTAGTTATTAGTTTAGCCGGCAAAAAACTGATACGAATTTTACAAAAAGTAATCTAACAATAAACATTTTTTTGCTTTGTTTTAGTTGACAGCGTGAAAGGGTAAATTGCATTTTTAAAAATACCTTATAAACGCCAACAAGAGCGAAGTTTTGACCGTCGGTGGGATGTGTTGATGAATCACTGTCTTTTGTCTTCTGTAATGTGAAAAAAAGGTAATTCGGTCAATACATTTAATAGCACCAACAATCCATACCATGTCATTTTCGCCAATTAAATATGTACTTCTATGATTGCTTGCAGTCTTTCTTTCAGACTTTTTTCCTCGGGGAGGGGGGGGGGTGGTACTTGTAAAAAAAAATTGTGGGGGGAGGGGGGCAAAATTTTCCTGGGGGGGGGGGGGGCGACACTGGTAAAAGTATATATTTTCTAAATAAATTCTATTTCGTTGAGGGGGGGGGGGGGGAAGGGCTGTAGACGTCCTCTGTTTGCTTGAGAAATTTTCTGTTTGGCTGGTTGGTAAAAGATAACCCTAACCTAAATTGTACCTTCGGTTCTAAATTTAGCTCTAGCTCATATCCCGAGTACTTTCGCGAAATGAATTCATTCAGCCTCTGCTTTTCAAAAGCCTATAACTTGAGTACTGTTTTAGATTGATAGACGAAATTTCACATAGTAAAATTCTCTGCCCTCTTTCAAATTTTGAGTAATTTCCGTTAGCCGGAAGCAGTACTTAACGCTTTTTCCGATTTTTTAATCAAAAGACGTATATAAATTTATCAAGTACTAATACTCCGGACTATTATACACACATCGTTTGCTGTTCATTTGGTGTGCAATTCTTTTTATCGATTCTATTTTTAAAAGTTTAATTAAAAATGGATTAAAAAACATGTCTATATCCCGCTTTTCCATCCCCCGTAGCCGAAGTTTATATGAGAATATTCTATAAAGTTTATGGGAGATCACTGCCGCTTTATTGTATGAGTTGTTTTACTTTATAATCATAATATCTATATATATAATTCTCTTCTGGGAGCCGCTAGAAAACAAGCTGCAAACGCGCCTAGAAAACAAGCTGTAAACGCGCTCCCTACCTCCCCACCCCTACATGGTTTTAGTGAGCTGTGTTCACTCTAAATGTTTACAAGCAGAGCCAACGATTTTAAACGTAGGGGGGGGGGGGGGGGGGGGGGAGAGGAGGAGGGGGGAGGAGGAGGGGGGAGGAGGAGGGGGGGGGGGAAGGAAGGGGGGGGGGGGTTATGGTCCTTAACGAGCTACTTATAGTGTTTTAAAGAAATATTTTCAGTGGCAGCGTTGGTACTGTCGAATTCACAAATTATGAATTACTGAAAAGTAGAAAAAACAACAACTAATAAGCGGCGTATGTTATGCCGCGGGCCGGCTCGTTATTTTTTAATATTTTAATTACGCCTCAGACATGTAATATTGGTCTTTCCTTAGTGCAGGACTATGCTCAATATTCGCCATGTGAGGACTTATAAATTTACAATCAAAGCTCTAAAGATAATTCTTTGTTTTTTTTTCCATTTTTTACTTTCTCGTAAATACGAAGTATAGAGAAAGTCTTGTAATCGTGCAAAAAAAAAATCGAGATTTTTACAAATCTCGATGTTTTACACCTCACTGATACGGAAAAACATAATTTTGCAATCTTGTCCGTATGTCTGTGTGTCTGTGTGTGTGTGTGTCTGTCTGTCTGTCTGTGTGTAAACACGATAACTTGAGTACCGTTACAGCTTCATATATAAGTATTTTATCAAAATCGTAGATCCGTATCGACTTTTGAGCGATTTCCGATAACCGGAACTGGTACTTTTCCTACTTTGAAGTTTTCAAAAGCCTATAACTTGAGTACTATTTCAGATAGATAAATGAAATTCCACATGTAAGTAAAAGATCTAATTCTCTACCTTCTGTCAAATTTTGAGTAATTTCCGTTGACCGGAAGTACTAATTTACGCTATTTCCGATTTCTCAAAAAAAATAACACACGTAAATTTATAAAGTACTAATAATAACCCGCACTATTATGCACATTTTATTAGGCGTTCACTTGGTGTGCAATTCTTTTTTTTTACGAGATTCTATTCTATTATAAAAAGTTAAAGTAATTAAAAATGGATTACAAATATTGTCTATGTCCTGAGTTGCCATCCCTCGTAGTTTTACATTAGAATTTTCGAGAAAGTTTAGAGGAGATCACTCTCGGTTTATTTTTATTTTTAATTATTTTATTATTATTTATTTATTTATTTTTTTACTAGGTGGAAACTAGCTTTATTTTGTAATAGTAACACCAGCCATACAGCACAAATAATCTTTAATGATTGATATAAGTCAATTGAAAAACAGTTATTAATTCAAATTAGATTTTTACATTTGAAATTGATGGACAGATGACTGCAAAATAAGGCTTACTTAAAACTAACTTCTACAATTCATAATTATATTATTTTAGACAAAACCTAGAGTTTTGTCTAGAAAATCTGCAAATTTATGTGGTTCTCCAGGTGGAAATGGTTGAAGTAAATTGAAGTCAAATGATGGTAAAGATTTGTATAGTAAGGGAACACTACAATAATAAAGATAATTATCTTATTACAGTTTTCATCATCGGCTTGTGAGGACTGATACAGATTTACAATAGTAATATTTCTTTCTTACTTGTAGCCTGCTTTCATTCATTTAAGATGGTTTACTTATACATAGATCTAATACAAAACGTCTAAATATGAAGAAAAAATAAAAATTAAAAACCAACCTGAAACTGAAAATGCAAATGTGTAATTAAATGATGATTCTAGGTTTTTTTTTCTAATTTTTTTTTTTCTAATTTTATTATAGCAAAAGTTTGGGATCTAGTAGGGTATTTCATGATTGGTTCATAATGATCGTGTCTTCAATTTTTAGAAATGATAATAAAACAAGTCACAAGCTTTTGTTTTAGTGTTTATAAGTATTTTAAATAGTACGTTATTCAACAATGTGATATTCACCTTTCTGTTTAAAATATTTAGCATTAATTATTGAAATGAATTATTTGTAAACAATTTATAAGTTTTCTTTGTAGCGTTCGGTATTCCTTTGTTGCCTTTTAGACTTTAATTATAAGTTGTCTCCCCTGATTAATGATTTAAATTATACATAGGAAATAACTACATTTCTCCTGGCAAAATCACGCATTGTTTTTCGAAACAAATATATTTTTTAAGTGTGAACATTAACATAGACCGAGCTTCATCTTCAAAAAAAATTCATTTTAACGTGTGTTAAATCGAACCCAATTTCTTCAATCCAATACTAACACCACGTTAATTAATTTATAAATCACATCGCATTATAATAATTATCGTTCCTAGTTCATGATTTGTGTTATTTTTCCCTACATCTCTATCAGATGCGTAGCAGCCCACTTCAGGCCCCAAGCCAAGCTATCAATTTTACCCACCCCTATACACCAGAGGCGTAGCGACCCTTCCCGGTGCCCGGGGACAAATTTCGATTTGCACCCCCCCCCCCTTGATCTTTTTTCATTTGCACCCCCCCCCCCTCAAACTTTCGATTTGCACCCCCCCTCGAACTTTTCATTTGCACCACCCCCCCCCCCCCCCCCTCAAACTTTCGATTTGCACCTCCCCTCGAACTTTTTATTTGCACCCCCCCTCAAACTTTCAATTTGGCGCCCCCCCTAAGGTCGGCGCACGGGGACATATGTCCCCCCCCCCCCCGCCCCACCCCCCCCCCTCGCTACGCCTCTGCTATACACCTCTGATCTCAACTACAAAGAGCTAAAATAAATTGCTGTAAATATTTTGTTAAAATAGGTTGATGACACGAACTCGCTTTTTTTTTAATCGTTAATCGATTTGACCGGATTTGGTCCGTGTACCGGATGGTAAACTGCATGGTGGGAATCAAAGTAAAAGCAATAACAATTTACCGTTAGCTAGGATAGAGTAAATGAATTGACGATGCATAATTAATGACCTGTGAAAGGTTGTAATTTACTACTGCGGTGCTGGAAACAGATTGGTAGTCCAGCATTACCGTCAGACTTTTGAAACTTTTTTGTATCGTTTGAATAATGCCCATCCGTTCCCGACATAGTTTTGTATAATGTATCGTTCATTCAACGGGGCAATGTGGGTTAATCCTAGACTGTTAATCCGAAGCTCTCTAGATCGAATCCGGGTTCAAGTAGTATGTCCCTGGGTCCATCCAGCTTTGATGGGTACCTAATTCGCGTTAGGGAAAGTAAAGGCGGCTGGGCTAAGTGCTGACCACACTATCCCTTCATATGCCAAGGTCTTTGAAACAGATTAACTCTACTTCATCTGCCCCATGTGACTTGGAAACGAACGAGGGAAAAGATGACAATTGTTCATTCAAATTATATACAAATAGAATCTTTAAAGCTTATATTTCTTGTTGATTTTTTTAATTTTGATTTTTTGTTGGTGGGGGGGGGGGGGAGGGTGAGGTATTTTTATTTTTGAGATGAGGAGGGTGCTATATATATATATATATATATATATATATATATATATATATATATACATATTCCAATACACGCTGTCGGAATTCTTAGAAGTACCACACAAAAAAGGTGATGAATGATGCAAAAATAGCAGTACTTGCCACTGAGAACATGCTTAACTTGGCGCTCTGGTTTTGGCCTTGTCGGAACTTGATGTCGTCATAGTCGACCCTCCAGGAGGTGCTGGCTAGGTCTCTTTCCCACACGATCCGCCTATGGAGATGTGTATGGAGAAAACGTATTTTAACACATGTCACCTACCACTGAATTTCCACACGATCCGCCTATGGAGTTGTGTATGGAGAAAAAGTATTTTAACACATGTCACCTACCACTGAATTCCCATACGATCCGCCTATGGAGAATATTTTTTTCTGAGAAAAGGGTAGTTTATTACATGTCACCTACCACTGAATTCCCATACGATCCGCCTATAGAGATGTGCATGAAAAAAGGGTGTTTTAATACACAGAACCTGGTTGTGAATGTAAACACATTCCGCATTTGGAGATGTTCATAGACAAAACGTATTTGAGTAAATGTAACCTACCAGTATATTCTCACAAAATCCGCTTATGGAAATATCCATCGACAAAAAGTATTTCACTACTGAATTCCCCTCTGACGATTCGCCTATGTAGTGCTTGGGCTAATAGTATTAATACATAGAACCTACCATTGAATTCCTAAACGATTCGCCTATGGAGTGCTTAGACTAATTGTATTTTAAAACTCTGAACCTACCACAGAATTTCTATAAACCCGCCTATGGAAAAGTCCAAGGAAAAAAAGTATCGTATTATTCTTAAATGAAATCTACTAAATCAGCGTATTTCTTAAGGAAAAAGTTATTTTAATATTAGGAACCTACAACTGAATTCCCAAATTGGACAAAAGTTATTTTAATATATGGAACCTACAACTGAATTCCCAAATTGGACAAAAGTTATTTTAATATTTGGAACCTACAACTGAATTCCCAAATTGGACAAAAGTTATTTTAATATATGGAACCTACAACTGAATTCCCAAATTGGACAAAAGTATTTTTAATATATGGAACCTACAACTGAATTCCCAAATTGGACAAAAGTATTTTTAATATATGGAACCTACAACTGAATTCCCAAATTGGACAAAAGTATTTTTAATATTTGGAACCTACAACTGAATTCCCAAATTGGACAAAAGTATTTTTAATATTTGAAACCTACAACTGAATTCCCAAATTGGACAAAAGTATTTTTAATATATGGAACCTACAACTGAATTCCCATACGATTCGCATATAGAGTGATTGGACATAAAAGTATTTTTAATATATGTAACTTACCAGTGTATTGTTATAAATCAGCCTATGCAAATGTCCATGGACAAATAGTATTTTTAATACAGTATTATGGAAACTACCACTGAATCCCCAAACGATTTGCCTATGGAGTGCTTAGACAGAAATGTTTTTAATACATGGAACTTAGCAGTGTATTTCTATAAATCAGCCTAAGCAAATGTCCATGGACAAAGAAATTAAATAGTATTTTTAATATATGGAACTTACCACTGAATTCCCAAACGATTCGCATAATTATAGAGTTGTTGGACCAAAAATATATTTAATATATGGAACCTCCCAATTATTATAAATCCGCCTATGAAAAAGTAAATGGATATTTTAAAAAAAAGGTGTTTTTCATGATTTAAATATTACGCCGTACTTCCCCAGGAAATGGCACGTTCGTGTTTGTACAGAAATAACAACGTCTAAAACAAAGCCCAATCCACCCATAACAACACTAGACAACGCCCGAGCTTATAATCTAATCCAGGGGTCTCCAAACTACGGCCCGCGGGCCGGATGCGGCCCGCGAAGTCCTCTCATCCGGCCCGCGGAGATCTTTTTGTCCAAGGAAAAATAGTTTGTTGGTGATGGCTGAGGAACTTCGCCCAGAAAAATCAAAAACATTCCTGGAAGAAACTGGCCCCCGAACTGAAATTTTATAGTTAATGCGGCCCTCGGACTGAAAAGTTTGGAGACCCCTGATCTAATCTGTTGAGTAGAGCCGTGTTTTTTTTTTTTTTTTTTTGTTAGGGAGGCTTTACGGGGACAATAGGGGATAACAAAAAACTGCTGTTTCATATCCAAATCCTTTCTGAGGATTCATTGTTTCTTCGTGTGTTTGTGTGTGTGTGTGTGCGTGTGTGAGTGTGTGTGTGTTTGTGTGAGTGTGTTTTAGCGTATTTGTATTGTTTTTTTCATTCGCGCAAGTTCCTGTTTTTTAAAATCTCGATAAAAATTTAATTTACATTATAGTGATGATAAAATGGCGAAGTATTGCATCAAGTGGTTCTGGAAATTCGAAAAAAAGGTAAATTTGTGTAAATCTACCACCTATTTTCTAATCACATATAAATACATCGGAGTTTTGATTATTAAATAAATTTAACTTGTCATATGATAAAAAATATATCAGGCTAGATAGTAATGGCTGAATAAAACAATTTTTGACAGTAACTGCGAAGTCATCAATTGTATTAGTATTAAGGAATTTTAGAGTAAAATTCTGAATACAATATTACACTAGAAAATAAATTTAATTGTTGATTTTTTTAAAAATAGCATTGAATGGATATAGATGTCAAATAATAACAACTATAAAATATTTTATTGTGTCGTGCTGATGTACCGTGAAGAGACTTTTTAAATATCTCTATAAAATTTGTTTTGTTGATTTTTTTAAAAATAGCATTGAATGGATATAGATGTCAAATAATAACAACTATAAAATATTTTATTGTGTCGTGCTGATGTACCGTGAAAAGACTTTTTAAATATCTCTATAAAATTTGTTTTAAAATGTCGTCCTTGTAATTTGGGTTTGATGAGGTTAAACGAGAGCACAGATATAGGGCTGGTAAGCAGGGGCGGAACTACAGTGCCGCCAGACCCCGCAATGCGGGGGGGCCCAGACCGAATGGGGGCCCAAAAATCCCGGCTAAATTATTTTTAAAAAAAAATTAAAAAAAAAAAAAATTAAAAAAAAAAAAAAAAAAAGGTGGAGGTCGAGTTATCTTTCTTCTACAGTTACAAAAAAAAAACACGATAGTCGGCAAACGTCTTTGAAAAAAATGTACAGACTATAGCTCGAGAGACCGCCAGACACATAGACAACTTCAAAGACGCAGGGGCGGAACTACAGTGCCGCCAGACACCGCAATGCGGGGGAGGGGGGCAGACCGATTGGGGGCCCGAAAATCCTGGCTAAATTATTTTTTAAAAAAAATGTTAAAAAAAAATTAAAACAAAAAAAAAAATTATTTTTTTTTAAATTAGGTGGAGGTCGAGTTATCTTTCTTCTGCAGGGGTCTCCAAACTTTTCAGTCCGAGGGCCGCATTAACTATCAAATTTCAGTTCGGGGGCCAGTTTCTTCGAGGCATGTCTTTGATTTTTCTGGGCAAAGTTCCTTAGCCATCACCAACAAACGTTTTTTTCCGTGGACAAATAGATCTCCGCGGGCCGGATGAGAGGACCTCGCGGGCCGCATCTGGCCCGCGGGCCGTAGTTTGGAGACCCTGTTCTACAGTTACAAAAAAACACGATAGTCGGCAAACGTCTTTGAAAAAAATGTACAGAATATTGCTCGAGAGACCGCCAGACATATAGACAACTTCAAAGACGCAGGGGCGGAACAACAGTGCCGCCAGACACCGCAATGCGGGGGGGGGGGGGGGGGGCAGACCGATTGGGGGCCCAAAAATCCTGGCTAAATTATTTTAAAAAAAAATGTAAAAAAAAAAATAAATTTAAAATTATTTTTTTTTTTTTAAATTAGGTGGAGGTTGAGTTATCTTTCTTCTACAGTTACAAAAAAACACGATAGTCGGCAAACGTCTTTGAGAAAAAATGCACAGACTATAGCTCGAGAGACCGCCAGACATATAGACAACTTCAAAGACGTAGCCTACCTTTTTACTTTTAGTGGCGTCGATTAGGAGAACAAAAAAGGATTGTTATATTGTTTACATTATTAAATATATATATATATATATATATATATATATATATATATATATATATATATATATATATATATATATATATATATATATATATATATATATATATGATTGTGTGTTTAAACTACTGGCCTGGACTCTACAAAAAATATAATTATTTATTTCGATGTCATACATTTATAATTGCGTTCATTTTTACTTTAACAACTGTATCAATAAACTTGTGAAAGTTTAAGTTAGCTCCCTTTAGCGAAGCATCTGAAGTTTTTGCCGGCACGCTTTGAAATCGGGCTGGGGAAATGTTGCGGCGACTATTCTGGTCTTCTAGACGACCGGAAAAAGTCGGCACTATTGATGTAGATGTTTATCGGCACTTTCCCCTTCCATTGAACCTTCCCAACTCTCACCCCTCCCCCCTCACCCCCCTCTCACCCCTACCCCTCACCTCTACCCCTCACCACACCCTTACTCTTACAATAAGATGTAATGCATAGATTAACGAACCGTCTATGAACTACTGAACTGTAAACTGACCACTTCTGCACATTTTGTTAAAGACACTAGTCAGTAGTTGTTCATTTACCTGATGAAGTATTTTGTTGACGAGTCTTATTCACACAACAAGGAAGGTAAGGCTCGTCTTTATATTATTAATTGTTTTATAATTAGTACACGTATTAATTGAACATTAGTTATTAACACTAAATACATTAAAGTTAATCAAATTAAGGATACAATGATCTAGCTTTTAAGCCTAAAAACAAACAAAAGATCTATATCACCTTTGAATGTATTAATGTTTAATTTCATGTTTAGCCCGTTACGGGGAGGGGTTATATTCGGTTATAATATGGGTGGGTCTTTGGCAGTGTTTCTTCCAGACGTTTCTCTTCGGGGGGGGGGGGGGGACTTGAAATTTTCGGAGGGGGGGGGGGGCGGGCACTGTTAAAAGTATATATTTTCTATATAAATTATATAAAATTAATTTCTTTCGGGGGGGGGGGGCGGACCGCACCGGGTGACACCATTTAGGGGGGTGACACCAAGGCAAAAAAATAGCAAAATATATAGAGAAAAACTCGAGGGGGGGGGGGGGGTGCAAATCGAAATTTTGAGGGAGGTGCAAATCGAAAACTTGAGGGGGGGGGGGTGCAAATCGAAAATTTGAAA